AGTAAACTTTACAACGAGGTTTTTTCTCATAGTTATATGCTGATGCTATAGTATATTCTTTTATTTATTTAATCAGAAATGTAACTGATATGTAAGCCTAGTTTGAGACAAATTATCCTCCATTATTCATACAGGCATGAAGGCGCTGTTGAACATGGTCAGGTTCAACGAGTGGTTTACGTTTCATATCACCGATAAAAAAAATTAAAGTTTGTTTAGAGTTAAAGAAAAGTGCTTTTTCGTATTCAACACCCTTGATAACCTAGAAAATTTTCTATTTTTAGCGAGGGGTACCATCAAAAAATAAGAAAAATTTTCAAACTAATTGATGCAGAAAAATCTCCATGGTAAAATTATACAATTCTGAAAATTTTTCTTAACTTTTTGGCGGTACCCCTCGCTAAAAATAGAAAATTTTCTAGGTTATCAAGGGTGCTGAATACGAAAAAGCACTTTTCTTTAACTCTAAATAAACTTTAATTTTTTGTCGGTGATATGTGTACAAAATAAGACGTGAACGTAGCAAATTACTTATTTCATTAAGGAAAGTTTGCTGGCTTTACGTTCATAAATGGTCTGTCTGCATTGAATAAACACTTCTATTTACTTTCCACATTCAGAAAAAAATCAGCTCATTTGGGTAAAGAATAAAGAAAATATTGAACATTTTCTAACTCTAAGGACTTTACGGACACCCTATATATCAAAAGAAACCGATAATATATCGAAATGTCATTAAGAACAATCCGTTATGCCGCGGTAGAGCGGCATAACGGCAGAGAGAATGGCAGGAATTTTGAAATGCTTCCTAAGGCCGTAGACAAATCTGATTGCATTATAACGAAACAAAAAATCGAAACACATTATAGTGCTATCAATTTATAGAGTTATATTGCAATGAAAATTTATATCCAGTTACCACGCCATAAATTCCTGAAAAATAACTTTGCAACGCGTTATAACACGACGGGCTATGTCTATCTAGTGTGGAAAATTTTTGCTTTTTCAGGCGCTCATCATGCATGGGATCCGATGTCCAGTCGCTTCCACATGTGGAAATCCTGGATATCACGCGTTACCATACCTGAATAAGCCACTCCATGCGTTTTAATGTATGGAAGTACCCTGCCAATGCATGGATCCACATGGAAACCCATGTCAAGAGGCGCATAGATATGTTCATCGAATTCCAACACCTAGACTCCGATGCATAATTGCGCTGGCTATTTAACTTCCAGGCATTAACATGCATGGAAACTAGATGTCACGCGTTAACATTCATGGGAGTGCACTTATTAGAATTCAAGGAGCATATCGATGTGTGTTTTGGCATGGGTTCCCATGTGGATCCATGCATTGAAAAGCGTAGAAGTGACCTATGCACACGTAAATTTTCCCATGCGTTGGAACGATTGGGTAAAAGATCCTGATGGTCCAAGTTTAATCTCCTCTGCAGAATAAATGAAAGACCGTCTTTCTTAGTTTGCAAGTGTTCTTAACTGTTAATTATTCTTTTAAGTCACTGTCTTTCTAATGTCCCCTATAGAGCTTCGTACTTAGAATTATAAATCCAGCACATTCTGATCATATTACATCGCTTGTGAACAAAAGAGGGAGTTTGCTACTTATGTGTGTAATAAATACCACGCATTCCCACGCGTGGGCTCTCATGTATGACAATATCTTTCCACAGCTTTTATCAAACTTCCATGTATAGTATAAGTAATGATAGTTTGTTGAAGTGGAAATAAATTGGACGATACTGCTAATTTAAAACTTTAGCACAATTTCTGTTTTCGTGTATTTATACATGGTCCAATAGGGCGCATCGAGTTGAACTGGTTTTAAAGGGAGTGGGAGGGGTGTCCTCCCCAAACATACCTTCAAACTTGGCCAGGTTGTAGAGAACACTTCCTGTGGTATGCCTATGGAATAAAACAAAATTTGGTCAAGGATTGTCCGTGCTACTAATTAATTAAGTTCAGAGTCTAATAAAAATTTGAACCAGAAGCGCTATTTTGCATACTTTGAGAGGCAATGATCTATGGTCATGGTTCAAGGAAAGAACATCGATTGAAGAACGTCGATCTTGGCTTATCTGCAATGACTCTTATGTAAACACTTATTACTAAAAATGTTAAGTTTAGAATAACCTACAAAAATAGCCTTTTCTTCTTATGAAAACTCGCTTCTTATGGAAAATGCGTTATTAAAATGCTTTTTCGATTATATTAAATACACTTAGTTCTATAAAAAAACATAAAATATTCAGACACAGTGAACATGGACCATCTACCAGTGAAAAAGACTAATATATTGCTACGTTAAATTTTTGAGTTATGAAATGGTTTCCCACACATGCCATAGAAAAGTCGATCTTTGAAAATAATTTTGACACTAAAATTAAGAACAAACAGATTTTGTACAAAAAATAATTGTTTTACTCCGACTACACTTTCAAAGAACAGCTTTAAATTTTCAGCTAGTATATTAAATGATTTACTAGTTAACGTCGAACCTAAAATTGATCTGATGAATGCCACCAATTAATTGTTTCGTTACTAGCGGCATCAATGATATTTAGTCCCTGTGGTGATGGATCAATATAGTTTAAGAAAGCAATTCGAAATACTAAGTGTGTTTCAAATGGCACAAGCACACCCCCACTATGAACTCGTCCATTTTGAAATTGTGCAACGATTGGAACGGCAATTTGATGCCAAACAGATAGATACTGAGTAGTTGGCTGGGGTAATGGTGACCCCACTTGATTTAGAATTGATTGATAAG